GTTCTTTCAATGTTAATATGTGCTTTGTGAAAAACTGTACGATGGCCACACAAGATGTCTTTACCCTAGGACTTCTCAGTCTTTTCTGCTGAAGTACACCGTGGCTCTTCAAGAGAGGAATGTAATATTTCATTAAAAAACTCCCATTCTACTTTTCTGTTTTTCCTGCGGAAAAAATTTGTGATTTTGTGAAATTAATTTTGGAAAATGCTCTACCAGGTATTTTCCCACTCTTCTCTTGGACGAGGGGAAGAAGAATGAGCTGTATCCTTCTTTGGAGCAACTGTGTTTCTTTATCAAATAATAGAAATATTGAAACAAGAATAGAAATAGAAACAAGACTGTCATTTTGCTTTCTACTATAATTTCAATAAAAATTATAGTAAGCACAATATATTTGAGACCACATACCAAGCTGAAAATTGGTCTTTAATGAGGGAACAACATCCAATTCTTTAATTTTAATTAATAATTACCTGAGTTACAGCAAACTACTAATATTTACATTATTTTGTAAGCTTTTCATTACTAGTGTTAGATTTTTCCATGTTTATTAGCCTTTGCTTTTTAAAAATTAAATGTTTTATTTAGAATAGTTTTTATAGAAAGATTGTGAGGATAATATAGAGACTTCCCATATATCCCACATCCAATTTCCTCTATTATTAACATCTTAAAATTAGTATAGTACATTTGTCACAATTAGTGAACCAATATTAATACGTTATTATTAGCTAAAGTCCATAGTTTATTCAGATTTCCTTGGTGTTTACCTAATGTCCTGTTCCTGTTCCAGGATCCCATGTAAGATAACACAGTACATTTAGTTTCTCAGACTTTAATTGGTTTTGATAACTTTGATAATTTGGGGGAATATTGCGCAGATAAGGAATTTCTCTCAGTTGGGGTTTGTTCAATGTTTTTCTTATGATCATACTGGGGTTATGTGTTTGGGGGAGGAAGACACAGAGGTAAAGCTCCATTTTCATCATATCGTGTAAAGGTACCCGCCATGGACCTGACTTTTCACAGTTGAAGCTGAACTTGACTGCCTAGCTGAGGCAGTGCTTGTCAGGTTTCTCCATTGTATACTCACCCTCTTTCCCTACTTCTCCTGCTATGCTCTTTGGAAGGAAAGCACTCTGTGTAGCCCACACTTAATGATGGGGTATTAGCTCCAACTGCACTTCACAAGGGTTACTCTTCCCTCCCCCCGCCATGCCTGGCAGAGCCTGGAGGGATCTTTTTTGGTCCTTCACTGTGAGAACCTGTTGTGGTTCCTGGAAGTAAAACTCATGAAAGTGTGGAGATCCCCCTAAAACAGCAGCTCTTGGACTTGCACACTGTCATGCTAGTCTACATTTAGCTTCCAGCATTTTATCAAAATTACCATTTAAATGTCCTATCCACTTATGGCTCCCAAAGACTTGGGTTCTAGGTAAGCAGAGCTCAGCTGTCTCCCTGAATCCATCTGTCTCCCTAGGTTTCAGGGTGGCAGTTTGCCCTGAAACCTCAGTTCTTTGATGGACCCCCCAAAAGTCAGTGATTTTAATTTTGTCCAGCTTTTACTTGTTGCAAGGATGGAAGTGACAACTTCCAAGCTTTTACATGTTGGAGCAGAAACCAGAAATACAAACGATCAAATTTTAATGATTATCTCATTTGGTATTTTGGATTAAAATAAATTGTTAATTCCTGTGATCTGATTGCAGCTATGATACAGTCCAATAAATGGGTCAAGGAACAGTGTCTGTTGGTTTCTAGGAATCTCTTCTAGTTCTATTATTCTGATTCTATGACTTTATTAACTTACAGATGACATCGATCGAACACTTCTTAATTTTAAAAATTATTAACATTTTAGATAATTCATTTTTTGTGAAAATTTACCACCGTTCTTATTCTCTAGTTTGTTAATAACAGCTAGTCCTCTAAGTACACAATGCTAGTTCAGTAATTTAGAGACATCAAAAATAACTTTGATTATTTATTACTTATGGAGAGAACATTAAATAATGTTAATATATAAAATATTACCTAAATTTGAAATATTACTTTTAGCTTTCATTAAGTCTCTTGATTAAAGTTTATAACTTGAATATTTAATCCATTTTAAAATTGATTAAGCCTGGTTTGCTCTATTGCATAGTGCTATTGTAATTCTTTTTTTTAATGGTATTTTAGGCATTTATTAGAAATGAGACTTAAAAGGATTTTTTATGACATGGAGAAATGCTTCTGACAATATGTAGCATAAAACATTATCAATTAAAAACCTAAATTAAAAATAATCTAAAGTATACAGTATGATCTTGGGATTCAAAATGCATAGAAAACTGACCATAGAAAATATGCCGAATGTCACGAGTGGTGTGTTGCTTCCAGGGAGCAAGCTCATGCAAGTAGTAACTATTTCTTTGGTTTCTTTATACTTAAAAAAAATTAATCCAAAGCAAAATTAACATATTGTAATCACAAGACTTGAGGATAACATAAGGCAATTGCAAAACGGAAACATACGGAATAGCTTGGATAGTTATTTAAACTCTATGCTTCGATTTTCTTCTCTGGAAAAGAGGGATTATAACCACATACCCACTTCACTGAGAAATTATGAAGATTAAAATGAGTTACTATAAGTAAAGTCTTTAGCTAAGAGCCTGGCATAGAGTAAGAACTAGATAGATGCTAACTTTTATCTTTGCTTTAAGGTGATTTCAATGACCATTAATTGTTATTTTTTTTAAGATTTTATTTATTTATTTGACAGAGAGAGACAAAGCGAGAGAAGGAACACAAGCAGGGGGAGTGGGAGAGGGAGAAGCAGGCTTCCTGCTGAGCAGGGAGCCCGATGGGGGGCTCCATCCCAGGACTCTGGGATCATGACCTGAGCTGAAGGCAGACGCTTAACAACTGAGCCACCCAGGCACCCCATTACTTATTATTTTAGAATCACATGGTTAAAGCTCAAAGGTACTTGAAAAACTATCTAGTTCAGAGATCATAAGTAGCTTGTGGGCTAAATTTGACTTTCAGAGGTTTGGTTAACATAGTGCTTTAAAATTATTTCCAATTCAAATGCTTTTTTTTTTTTTTTTAAGGGTGGGGAGGGGCAGGCAGAGGGAGAGAGAGAATCTTAAGCAGGCTCCACACTAGGTGTGGAGCCTGGGATCCCAGGATCCCAAGATCCTCACCTGAGCCGAAATCAAGAGTTGGACACCTAACTGACTGAGCCACCCAGGCGCCCCAATTCAGATGCCTTTTGAGAGGGCATAAAATCCAGTCCTGATAATCACCACTACAGCCTGTCATCTTCTGTTACCATTTTGCTTCCTATGCTTGCTTTAACTGCGCAGCTCCTGAGAAACCTTTGAATTTGTGGCCCTTAATCTAGTCCACTCCTCTCATTTATTAGAGAGGCTAGTGAGTTCTGGAGGGATTATATAAAGACCCCAAAGTTGTGACCAAACTGGAAATAAGATCTGGGACTTCTGATTCCTAGGCCGGCCTTATCCCCCACAGCTTCTGCTTCAGTTGGGATTACTTAGATCAAATCCCTCTTTAATGACAATTGACCAAAGGGCCTCAGGTGAACCCGTCATCTTATAATACATGTCAGTGGAGGGAGTGTAAATTCTTAAGGATAAAATTATCTTTATAATTAAAAACAAAACAAAAAGCTAAACAAAGCAAAACGAACAGACTTAAAGTATGTGGCAATGTCCTCCTCCCCTTTTTAAAATGATATAGATGGTTCCACATAGGAAACCATCACGAAGCTTTTTTTTTTTTCTTATTAACTTGGCGTATCCTCCAAACTAAAACAGCAATTTGAGCACATCATTTGAAAATCTGCTCACAAAGTTTTCAATTCACAGCCTGTTCTTGTGCTGTCTTTAAAAGAGGGAGTGAAACAGACTCATAAATACAGAGAACAAACTGGTGGTTGCCAGAGGGGAGGGGGTGGATTGTGGGTGAAATTGGTGAGGGGGGTTAAGAGGTACAAACTTCCATTTATAAAACAAATAAGATGAAAATTCAGCATAGGGAATACAGTCAATAATATTGTAGTAAGCTTATAGGGTGACAGATGGTAACTACACTTAACCGCGGTAAGCATTTGGTAAGATATATAATTGTTGAATCACTGTATTGAACACCTGAAACCAATATAAAATTGTATGTCAACGGTACTTCAATTAAAAAATATAAAGTTCTGGGACACCTGCGTGGTTCAGTCATTAATCATCTGCGTTCAGCTCAGGTCATGATCTCAGGGTCCTGGGATCAAGCCCTGCATTGGGCTCTCTGCTCAGTGGGGAGTCTGCTTCTCCCTCTCCCTCCACTGCTCCCCCTGCGTGTGCTCTTTCTCTCTGTCAGATAAATAAATAAAATCTTAAAAAAAAAAGATTTCACTGTCTTCTGTCACATTTCCTTCACAAAATCGGGAAAGAAAATAAGACAGTGTAGGTGCCTGAACCTGTCAGGTTCACTGTCAGCTCCGTGGGAGGTTTTAATTAGGAGCTCTTCTTTCCATAAGAAAGAGAAAATGAGAAAAAGGTGTCAGTGTCATCCATTGATAGTCATAGGAATTAGGCACATTTCCTATTAAATGTTTGTTTACTCTCAAGGGGCACAAATAGAATATGCTGTTTAAAAATTCTGTCTTGTGGCAAAAACAAGGAGAGATTTCAGGTTTCAGTGATTTGTAGTCTGTAGTGTGCATAAGAATTGTCCGGGGCTCTTAGTGCAGAGTCAGAGCTCCTGCTCCCGAATCAGAATCAGTGGGGGTGGGGCCCTGGGACCCCCCCTCCTGGGGATGTGATGCAGGGGATCTATAGGCCTTATTCTGAGAAGTGATGATAATGCATCTTGTTTCCTATAAGAATTTTAGAAAATTTGATTTTCTTCTCTCCTTTTTCCTTCCCTCTCTTCCTCCTTTTCTCCTTCCCTCTTTCTTTTTCTGTCTCTCTTTTTTGCTATGTTCAACTTTATTTTAGGAGCAGACAATAATACAGAGATGGAAAACTTGAAGATCTGAACATTGCCATCAAGGTATTCACAATCTCTTTGTCAGACATAATGCCATTATGCCTTAATACCACGTAGGAAAGCATAGATTGAAGGTAAGGGGAGAATCAGAAGATGCTTGAGAGTGAAAGGAAGCCACACAACCCTTGATGGAAGGGCTGAGATGTGACAAGTTAGCAGAAGACCTTGCATTATCAGTTTGGGAGGCAGAGGTACTAGGTTCACTTCTGTTTTTCCACATCATAACTACATGATTTAGGGCAAGTCATTTTATATCTCTGAGTCTCAGCTTCCTCATCTTTCGAATAAAGACATTTACATTGCAGAATTGCAATGTGTGCATGTGTATATATATAATATATATGTGATCAGTAACTTCCCAGGAAGAAGATTTGTAGAAGATTTTTCTGACACTGGTAGAGAGGAGATAGTGCATGGGGTAGAAAAATAGAGTAGACAAGTCAGTTAGGGTATAGTAATCTAGGCAAAAGGTGATGACAGTTTAGTGTTGCATGGGGGCAGTAAGAAGAGCAGCAATACAGATGTGAGAGAAATTTATAAGGACATGACCACAGTAGAAACTGGTTTATGATTGGGTCTGATCAATAGAGAGGAATGGATGGAAGGTGACTTCAGGACCCCGTAGAAGATGAACAGCCCAAAGCCAGAAATGGAAGATCAGAAGAACATGGATTTGGGGAAAAGTCTGATTTTAGACTTGCTCAGTTTGAGGTTATGTCAGGATTTTATCTTATTTTTTTTAAAGATTTTTATTTATTTATGAGAGAGAGAGAGAGTGAGAGAACAAGCAAGGGGGAGGGGCAGAGGGAGAGAGAGATAGCCCCCGACACGGGGCTCTATCCCAGGACCCTGAGATCATGACCTGAGCTGAAGGCAGACACTTAACTGACTGAATCACCCAGGCACCCCTATGTCAGGATTTTTAAAAGGAAATGTTTGTTAAACTAGCAGAGGTGAGAAGACAGGAAAAAACGTATTGACGGGGGATCCAGGGCCAAGAAGGTGGTAGTTGACGGCAATCGAATCGGTTAGTCCTTCAAGGGAGAGAATTTTAGAAAAGATATCAAAGATTCAAAGATTTAGCCTTGAGAAATGCCAGTGATTAATAGCAGTTACTTATGCATGGCTGTACAAAGTATGGTAATGCCATCCATTTTGTTTGATCCTCATAAGAGCTGGGTGATGTGGATGCAGGAGGGTTTTACCTATTCTATGAATGTGAGAATCAATCTGTTATAGGTAATTTTACTACAGATTAGCAGAGATGGGATTCACGACTTAGGTTTCATACCTCCAGATTCAGAATTCTTGATACCATGAAGTCAAGAGGGAAGAGATCAGCCAGGTATTCCTGAAGTCTTCAGTCAATTATTCTATTTGAGCCTAGGTGATATATGAGTGTAGAAATAGGCTACATCCCAAGCATGTGAAAACTGTTAAAAAGTCTGATTTCCCCTAAAAAGGTTATTTTGGAAAAATATTTATTTCTGGAGAGAAAAATGTAATCACTAAAGTTCATTGAATCTGCTGAAATCCTGGGTATTGTAACAGCGTCTCTGGTTGGTTATGACAAACATGACCAAAGCAAAAAAACACAGGAAGAGGAATTTATTTATTGACTCATGCAAATAAACCATGGCCATGGCCATGACCGGGGTGGAGAAGGAAATGAAAATGGATATATTGTTGTGAGCCTTTCTTTCCTCTTTTCTTCTTTCTCCACATTTGGGGGTGACGAGAACACCATGTCTGGCACCTTCTATGCGTATATTATCATAGCTTGGGTAACAGAGAGAAAGATGGTTTCTCTCTCCCAGAGCTGGCTGAGGGTATGACTGTGGCATGCAGGTTTGGGATCTCTTCAGAGGGTGGTTGTTTTCTTACAGACATTTAAATACCATTTTAGTAGAAGCTGCCGGGTAGATGGTGGATGACAATAAAGGCAACAGGCTAACCTTTCCTCAGGCATGGCTAACTTCTGCATAAGCATTTAGCCACAGCTTGATGGAGACTAATGTAGAATAATGATGCTCTCTATTCTGTTTTAAAGGTGGTTAGCTAGTTTTTATCCGACCTCATGCTTCCCACGTGTGTGTGTATGGGACCCCTTCATAGTCAGTTCCATACACCTACTGCAATGACCAAGCAACAACAACCTGCGTTTTCACCTTGAGTATTGTGCTGAGAGCAAATTTGTTATTATGTCATAAGCTTGTTAACGACATAGGAAAATATCCACTGTAAATATTTCCTTAAGTAAAAATCAATTTGATAATAAAATAGTGTGGTTTTGCTTATTTTGGTTTTGCTTATTTTGGATTAAAAACATCACTTTGGAGAGTTTTCTTTTTTCTTGATTTTCTCCTATCATGCTATATTGTGTTGTTATATTATAGTGCAAAGTGCATAAACTTTAGGATCTGATGGTCATAGGTTTAAATCTTGGTTTGTTCTTCATTCAATAAATATGTGCTCAGTGCCTCCGATCATGCTCCAGACATTCTACTAAGTGTAGAGGATGCAAAATTAAATAACACAAACCCTTCAATCTCAGGAAGCTCCTGGTCTCATGGTAGGGTAAGAGAGGGTGGTGCAGAGTGAATGCTGGGGGTGCAAAAGAGGGACAGCACATATCCCATTGGAGGGAGGAAGGGGGGGCTCCCTTGAGAGGTGCTGCTGGATGTGAATTGTGTCTGTTGAGAAGGGAGAGTGAACAATGGAGGAAAGTGTGTTCTCGGCATAAGGACGACAGAAGAGAAAGTCAGAGGCACTAAAGGACATGGCATGTTTTGGTAAAAATGTTTTGCTGTGTCTGGAAAATTTGGCACATAGTTGGAATTTATAAATTTTAGTGAATAAATAATCAGTGCATGGCAATGAGTGCTATGGGAAACAAAGCCAGGGGACAAAATAAAAGCCACATCACAAAGGGCTTTATGTATTTGGCCTTCATCCTGAAAGCTGTGAGAAGCAATTGTTTATTATTATGTTATATAAAGAAATGACATGATCAGATTCTCACATGGGCTCTGGAGAATGGATAGAAAGGGTCTACTCTAGGGCCACGGAGGCCAGTGGAGAGGCTATTGTAATCCAGGTGAGAAACTGCGGGAACCTGAGTTAAAGCTATAGGAGTGGGGACAGAGAGGAGACAGGCTTGAAATGTACAAAGAAATAGTTGATAAGACTGCTTGATCTATAGAGTGTAGGGGGCAGTGATAAGGGAAAGTTCTGGAGGAATCAGGACTGTTCCCAGATTTCAAACACTGGTTCAGTGGGTATAGTGGCAATGGTGAGGTTAGCTTCAGGCATTCTGAATTCAAGTATAGAGGGTATATCCCAAGTGGAAGTGTTACATACATAATTGGATATCCAATCTGGAGTGCTGGAGTGAAATCTGAGCTGAGGCTATATCCTTGAGAGTTCATTAGTCTTCAATTAGCTATTGAAGCTTTGGATGAGATCATCCACAGAGAAGGAGGTGGACCAAGCTGAGAGCCCATGGGAACCAGAGTTCTTAGGGGAAGAGGGGCTTGAGCTGAACATGGAGAGGGACATATAAGACATATAAGAGAAAATCTAGGACATGTAAGACATATAAACCTAGGACATATAAGACATATAAGAGAAAATCTATACCAACAGGAAAAGATTTTTATGATTATGTACCTTGAGCAAGTTTGCAATCTCTCTGTGACTTTTTTACTTTATCAGTGAAAATGGAATAATATCTGTTGCATTGTATATTATGAGGTTTGTAGTGACAATAAATGCATTCATTTGACATGGTCCCTGTGACATAAAATTCATGAGTTTTTTTTGTTTGTTTCCGGTATTGATTAGGTCACTAATAAAATTGTTCACAATAAGATCTTCCACTTAATGGGACTTATTATTTTGTTCAATAATTTGGTCATATTTCTTTCCTAATAACTGAATCTCCAAAATTCAATAATCAACTCCAGTTAGGAGCTCTGGTATCAAAGCAAGCAGTGTCCATTGAAGAACATTTCCAGAAATTTATTTTCTTCCTTCCAATAATACTGTGATTAATCTTATTTAAAAACACCTGCATTGGGGCACTTGGGTGGCTCAGTTGGTTAAGCCTCTCCCTTTGGCTTAGGTCATGATCTCAGGGTCCTTGGATTGAGACCAGCGTTGGGCTTCCTGCTGAGAAGGGAGCCTGCTTCTCCCTCTGCCCCTCACGCAGTTTGTGCTCTCTCTCTTTCTCTCTCACTCTCTCTCCCTCAAATAAATAAGTAAAATCTTAAAAACACACACACACACACCTGCATTTCTTATTTGAATATGCAGTCAATATCAAGTAAACTTCCTTTACAAAATTACATCGGTCATCCCAAATAGTATGGTATATACTTGAAAAAAATAGGACTTGTAAGGTTTCAAGCATTATTCTTCACATCTGCTTCTGTGGGCTTTGTGTGCCCTACAATTTAGTTGCTTTTATTAAAGCAACCTAATTTGGGGAAATTTGAGAAGAAATGGAAAGGCAACATTTTCTTGCCTTTGAAATTTTGTTTGTTCTCTTTGAAGCTGAACTGAAAAATTAGCTAGATGCTTTTGTGGAGAACACAGACAAATTCAACCTCTGGCTTTATGTAGAAATTTCAAACATTTTCATTTGTGTTTTCTTTTTCATGTAACACAAAGTACCTCCTCATTTGGTCATGCTTAGTGTCTGGTTTCAGAGCAATTTCTAAGGCTTGTTTGGAGGAAACAAAGCATATTTCTAGGTAAGAGGTAGAAAAGAGAGAAAACACACTGGGTAGATAAAGATCAGGCAAATTTTTTTTTTTTTAATGCACTTGCTTCTTTTTTAATACCCTTTCCATTTCTTCAGTAGCAACTTGGAGAAAGTTCTACTAACAAGTAATTGTGTCAAAGGTCTTAGAAGAACAATGTGTTTCATGCCTACCTTACTAGAATTACCTCATTTCCTGTTTATAAAGCAAGCTGATAAACACAATGAGGAAGATGTAGCTCAATAACCAGAGGCTTGAGTGTATTCTTGACATTGCCATACCTTTGTTCAAGTTGGATTAGAGGATCTTCAAGTTTCCTTTCTGTTTTAAGATTGTATAATTTGAAGTCCTTTTATTCCTATACCTATGGTCCAGTATCTTAAAATCTATCTGTCTATCTATAGTAGGCTAAATAACGGAGTCCCCCCCACCCCCAGCCCTGTCAAAGTGTCTATGTTCCAATTTGTTATGGGACTGTGAATATGTTACCTTACCGCAAAAAGGACTTTGAGGATGTAATTAAGTTAGAGATCTGGAGATGGGAAGATTATCCTGGATTATTTGATGGGCCCAATGTCATCACAAGGGTCCTTATAAGAGGGAGGCACAAAGATCAGAGTCAGGGAGGAGATGGGGCAATGGAAGCAGAGACTCTTACAGTACACTTTGAAGATGGTGGAAGGGACCAAGATCCAAGGAATGCAGGTAACCTCCAAAAGCTGGGAAAGGGAAGCTAAGGGATTTTTCCCTAGAGCCTTAGTGGGAAGCATAGCCCTGCTGATCCTGTGATTTATTCCCAGTCCCATTTGGGACTTCTGATTTTCAAAATAGCAAGGCTATTTTTGTTGTTTTAAGCCACTCAGCGTGTTTGTAGGAATTTGGTGCAGCAGCCCTAGGAAACTACTACACTAAGTATCTAAAATCCGTGTATATATATGAAACTTCAGGATTCATAAGTCCTGTATCTGTCCCTCTAATTTCTTGTTCTCTACCAGATGAGATGGGGTATAGATACACTCCGACAGAGTCAGTACATGACCAATAGGACCATATAAAGATTTGAGTTCCATGATTTACTCAGGTCAGATACTAGGGCCATCAATTGTTAGTTGTCTGACTTTAGATTTGTCACATACTTTTTTGTGTCTCAGTTTCCTTCGCTGAAAAGTTAGGATAATGAGAGTGCCTATGTTCCTTATGGAATTGAAGGACTCAGTCCTCATAAAATACATATGTCAGCTTTGTGTGGCAACTTCCAAGCTTCCCATAAGGGCTCTCCACCAGTTTCTTCTCCTGAATGCAGTATTTGGAATCTGGAGAAGAGCATATTTAGGTGAGGTTGGAATCATGACAATCAGAATAGTCAGGGGGACATGAGTTAAACCTGGAAACCCAAGGAGGAGGCAGGAATGAGGATTTGCCTGAGGCTGGGTCCAATTTTCTCGACTCAGTTTTCACTGCCTTTGTTGCACTTGGTTCTCAGTCTATTCTGGGAATTCCACAGAGACTAAGATCACTTCCCTTCATCACAGATACTTATGAAACTATCAAGCTGAGAGGAGATGCAGGTATTTCAACCTCTAAAGTAGATTCTTATCACATCCAAACCCACTAAAAGGGATTGACATCATTTAGCTGATTATTCAGGCATTTTCTTTGATGGAGAGAATTGAGAAAGAGTTTAAACTTTTATTGTTTGGTTTTTATACATGATATGTATATATTTGGGAGAATGGAAGGAAAAAGGCACCTGTACCTTTAAGAAGGAGCACAGGGTTTTTTGTAAAGTAAAAAGATGAAAGGCATGAGGGAAATGGTCAAGGCCACTTATTATTCTGGAACATACTTTAGTTCCTTGTCTTCTGGCTTTGCAGCTTGAATTTTTCATAGGATGTGAGGGAAAGTATATTTTTTCAATGTTTCCATTTGTGGGATGTTCCTAATTCATTTGCTCCCTGGCTTTTCACTGTTGTAAGCATATAACTTTGGGATTGGATGCTCCTGAATATGATGATGATTTGGGCACTCACCTTGATGTCAGTGTTATCTGAAGAGATGAGCAGAATAGCAAATGCCAATAAATCATATTTCTGATGATGTCTATAGAAACCCAACTATTCCTATTGGAGGAGATGCTTTTGTTTGTTGGTAGGAAGGTGGTTTCCGGTAGAGACCAATTCCTTTTCTCCCAACTGTGTGACTGGGTAATGAAAGCTGCTATGTTTGTAAAGTATTATAATTTACACTGTGTCTTCAGTGCATTTTACATATGATCCTACAACTCCTTTTTGGGCTAGATTACAGCTATTCCCATATTAGAGAAGAGAAAACCTAGTTCCAGAAAAGTAAACTGATTTCCCCAAGTTCATACAGTTAACCAAAGCATTGGCTCGAGATGGGTTTTCTTTCCACTACATGTTGCTTCCCAAAAAAAGTTGATTCAAGTGAATAAACTTGGGAGTCTCAGT